TTAATAAACATCATGTTGGCTGTATTTACAATGCAAATCAATACTTTGTTATTATCATGATGACTGTTATAAAAATTAGAAGATGACATGCTCCTTTGCACAACATAGTTAAGACTAGATTCTGCAAAATGCTTACAAGAGATATTAACACTTTCAAACAACAATTATAGTCTGAAAGTTGGATCAAAATAAATTTTATATGCTTTGTATTATTGGCATAATTTAACTTTTGTTAATCTGGTTAATTATGAACACAAAGGATATACATATATATACATATTATGATGATAAATTGTACAAGAAAATTTAACTTTTCATAGCTTTGAAAGGAATACAAGCATGAAGCAAAAAATATTCCTATCAAATCTTATAATTAATTTCTTGGATAGGTTTCAAAAACAAAAATAACACATAAATTGATAATTCAATGATAGATTACTTTATGACAAATCACTACACACAACAGCTGGTGTGGCATGTATGATGTCCTTGATGGCTAACTCCTGCCATTTTCCCTCATTCAAAATTCATTCATAAATGGACCAATCACATTCCAAACAGAAATGCGTAAAAAAAAAAAAAAAAAAATAATAATAAAATAAAATTCCCCTGATAAATCTGTTATCTATTGCTTGTTTATTGTTTGTGTACTTTGTAGGATATTTTAATATTTCATTATCAAGCGGGTGAAGCTAGATTTTTTTTTGAGAAATGAAAGAATAAATTGATGAATCAGAAAGATGCATTTTGCATACAAACAAAACATTTATTATAAGGAAGCAAAAAAAAAAAAAACAAAAAAAAACAATGAAACAGGACATCAACTTCAACAGGACTTTGATCAGTAGACACCTGTGTAGATATCTATGTACAGCAGACACCTGTGTATATATCTATGTACAACAGACACCTGTGTAGATATCTATGTACAACAGACACCTGTGTATATATCTATGTACAATAGACACCTATGTAGATATCTATGTACAGCAGACACCTGAGCATATATCTATGTACAATAGACACCTACGTAGATATCTATGTACAACAAACAACTGTGTAGATATCTATGTACAGCAGACACCTGTGTATATATCTATGTACAACAGACACCTGAGCATATATGTATGTACAATAGACACCTACGTAGATATCTATGTACAACAAACACCTGTGTATATATCTATGTACAACAGACACCTGTGTAGATATCTATGTACAACAGACACCTGTGTATATATCTATGTACAATAGACACCTGTGTAGATTATCTATGTACAACAGCAGACACCTGTGTAGATATCTATGTACAACAGACACCTGTGTATATATCTATGTACAACAGAAATCTGTGTAGATATCTATGTACAGCAGATACCTGAGCATATATCTATGTACAATAGACACCTACATAGATATCTATGTACAACAAACACCTGTGTATATATCTATGTACAACAGACACCTGTGTAGATATCTATGTACAACAGACACCTGTGTATATATCTATGTACAATAGACACCTATGTAGATATCTATGTACAGCAGGCACCTGAGCATATATCTATGTACAACAGACACCTGTGTAGATATATATATACAACAGACACCTTTGTATATATCTATGTAAAATAGACATCTATGGAAGTATCTATGTACAAAAGACACCTATGTAGATATCTATGTACAATAGACACCTGTGTAGATATCTATGTACAACAAACACCTGTGTAGATATCTATGTACAACAGACACCTGTGTATATATCTATGTACAACAGACACCTGTGTAGATATCTATGTACAACAGACACCTGTGTATATATCTATGTACAACAGACACCTGTGTATATATCTATATACAACAGACACCTGTGTGTATATCTATGTACAACAGACACCTGTGTAGATATCTATGTACAATAGACACCTCTGTAGATATCTATGTACAACAGACACCTGTGTAAATATCTATGTACAAAAGACACCTATGTAGATATCTATGTACAACAAACACCTGTGTAGATATCTATGTACAACAGACACCTGTGTATATATCTATATACAACAGACACCTTTGTATATATCTATGTACAGCAGATACCTGTGTATACATCTATGTACAGCAGACACCTGTGTATATATCCACCTATGGAAGTATCTGTACAACAGACACCTGTGTATATATCTATGTACAACAGACACCTGTGTAGATATCTATGTACAACAGACACCTGTGTATATATCTATGTACAGTACAACAGACACCTGTGTAGATATCTATATACAACAGACACCTGTATATATATTTATCTTTGTACAACAGACACCTGTATATATATTTATCTTTGTACAACAGTCATCTGTGTAGATATCTATGTACAACAGACACCTGTGTATATATCTATACACAACAGACACTTCTGTAGATATCTATGTGCAGCAGACACCTGTGTAGATATACAACAGACACCTCTGTAGATATATATATGTACAACAGACACCTGTTCAATATCTGTGTACAACAGATACCTGTGTAGATATATATGTACAGTAGACACCTGTATATCATCAGAAATCTATATACATTAGGTACCTGTGTACACTTGATATCCATATATATTAGGTGCCTGTGTACACTTGATACCCATATACATTAGGTACCTGTGTACACTTGATATCCATATACATTAGGTGCCTGTGTACACTTGATACCCATATACACTTGATACCCATATACATTAGGTGCCTGTGTACACTTGATATATCCCATATACATATCTATGTACAGGTGCCTGTGTACACTTGATATCTATATACATTAGGTGCCTGTGTACACTTGATACCCATATACATTAGGTACCTGTGTACACTTGATATCCATATACATTAGGTCCGTCTGTAAACTTGATACTCATATACATTAGGTGCCTGTGCACACTTGATGCCCATATACATTAGGTGCCTGTGTACACTCGATATCCATATACATTAGGCACCTGTGTACATTTGATACCCATATACATTAGGTACCTGTGTACACTTGATATCCATATACATTAGGTACCTGTGTACACTTGATACCCATATATATTAGGTGCCTGTGTACACTTGATACCCATATACATTAGATGCCTGTGTACACTCGATACCCAGATGCATTAGGCACCTGTGTACACTTGATACCCATATATATTAGGCGCCTGTGTACACTTGATACCCATATATATTAGGTGCCTGTGTACACTTGATACCCATATACATTAGGTACCTGTGTACACTTGATATCCATATACATTAGGTACCTGTGTACACTTGATACCCATATACATAAGGCACCTGTGTACACTTGATAGCCATATACATTAGGTACCTGTGTACACTTGATATCCATATATATTAGGTACCTGTGTACACTTGATACCCATATATATTAGGCGCCTGTGTACACTTGATACCCATATATATTAGGTGCCTGTGTACACTTGATACCCATATACATTAGGTACCTGTGTACACTTGATACCCATATACATTAGGTGCCTGTGTACACTTGATACCCATATACATCAGGTACCTGTGTACACTTGATATCCATATACATTAGGTACCTGTGTACACTTGATACCCATATACATTAGGCACCTGTGTACACTTGATAGCCATATACATTAGGCACCTGTGTACACTTGATATCCATATACATTAGGTGCCTGTGTACACTTGATACCCATATACATTAGGTGCCTGTGTACACTTGATATCCATATACATTAGGTGCCTGTGCACACTTGATGCCCATATACATTAGGTGCCTGTGTACACTCGATATCCATATACATTAGGCACCTGTGTACATTTGATACCCATATACATTAGGTACCTGTGTACACTTGATATCCATATACATTAGGTACCTGTGTACACTTGATATCCATATATATTAGGTGCCTGTGTACACTTGATACCCATATACATTAGGTGCCTGTGTACACTTGATACCCATATACATTAGGTGCCTGTGTACACTTGATACCCATATACATCAGGTGCCTGTGTACACTTGATATCCATATACATTAGGTGCCTGTGTACACTTGATACCCATATACATTAGGTACCTGTGTACACTTGATACCCATATACATTAGGTACCTGTGTACACTTGATACCCATATACATTAGGTCCGCCTGTAAACTTGATACCTATATACATTAGGTGCCTGTGTACACTGGATACCCATATACATTAGGTACCTGTGTACACTTGATATCCATATACAATAGGTGCCTGTTTACACTTGATATCCATATACATTAGGTACCTGTGTACACCCGATACCCATATGCATTTGGCACCTGTGTATATTGATAGTTTAGTGGTTGTTGGAAATATTTGAAATCATGAGAATGGCAGACAACCTGTAGTTCAGGTCTGTACCAATAGACGATTTGTTGTGAAGACTTTGAATGACATTTCAATATAAATAGGTGTGTTTTCAAATGTGTTTTAGACATTGCTTTGGTTTTATTGGGAGTCAAATAGTAAGAAAAGTAAGTTTTTTTTTCAAGTATATGGTATGTATGTTTAACAGATATAAATTGGTATGCCACTATTTGAAAATTGGTGGCTCTAAAGATGTGTTGTAGAGACAATTAATTTTGATAACTGTGCCGTAGGACAGCCAAACTGTCCAAGAACAAACTTAATTTTATCAATTCTGTATTAATGTTGATGTACAATGTACAAATGTCAAACGGTAGTAGAAAAAACTCTGTTCTGAACACATAAAAAAGTGAAAGAAAATGTTCAAAGTACATTGTACCTAAGCACTATCAGCAGCTTTATACAATGCGATATAAATATATATGGTTTTGACGGTACACCTAGGACGTACTCAATACATACATCTGGCAGCGCCGAGGCGGGGGAGGTCACACGCGCCTAACTACAGAACGAGTCTAAGGGAGGGGGTAAATTAGGTCACGTTATGTACTTACAATAAGTTCGCTTCCTCAGTTCCACTACCTCTTCTTGTTTCAGTTTACTATTCCTTTTTCCCATGGCCGGGACAGTTAAATGTCACCATTCCAAAATCCTTGGGGGAACACAAGTCACCGTCCCAACTGGTTCCGTTGTCAAAATTGTGTGTCGTCTGCTTGTATATGGGTCTCCAGGGTTTTATTTTTTAACGAAATAGATATATCACCAATGATGATTGTTGCTACATAGTAACCAGTGACGATACTGAGCGTAGATGCTCCCAAAATAACGAGGCTTGGAGAAACCCGATCTCTTTACTCCATACTTCCACAAAATGATGGCGCGCACATAGCGATCGCGAGGATTGGGGTAAAGAGCAGACGATGTGTGTTCAGGATATTGTGCTGTGGCTCTGCATCTGGGTACGCGCCAAGAGGTGCGATAAGGGCCGCACGAGCTCATACACGTACAGATATTGCAGCTTGAGGTGCAAAAAGGAAAACGATCACAGCATTCGCCACATTTTCATGCTATCGAAATGTTATTGGCGAGCATGCATTTTAGGCAATAGGAAACAGTAAAGTAGAGACGTTTTGTTTGTGTACATCATAACGTCATCCCCGCACTGCTTTATTGATTTTTGTATTACATGTGGGAATTTTGTCGCTTTCCGTATCATTTGTTCAGACAGATAGCACATCTGTGACCGAGACAGAAATCTTAGTCCTATAATGACAATATTAATGTACCAACATTATATATCTTTGTCTTGTTCCAAAACTAATTAACAATGAATTGTTTTCGCCTTAAAATAATTGCCAGCATAAACTGTTCCATATATTGTATCTTACCAACAACCTGTAGCGAGTGTGGCATATTGCTTAACACCAACATTGGTTTTACTTAATTTGAGAATTGGATTTATAAAAAAATATCCTGTTGCACTGTAAAACCTTTCATTGCACAAACATCGGAGGCGCCAGTTTCGAAATACATCAAATTGTCGATGAAAATATCGTGTTCATAATTGTAATCCAAACCCCCCGAAATATCCTTTTCTGTAATAACTGGTTCGCACCAACCTTTCGTTATTCATTAACATATGCGTTTTTCAATTATGAAATACATTTCTTTAAATGGTTAGAAGTGACTGCCCGGAATCACACCGATCAAATCGATCATTCAATGGTGTCCAGAAACACCACATATACTTTATCTACAAGCTATATAAGCAAAATAATAATCTATAAATCGACCACGTGATAATATGTGCGAGATGTTAATGGCTTGCTAAAATCGGTGCGATAGATAAGTGAAAGCCAGAGTTCAGATTGTACGAAATTCATCATACCATCAAAACATTTAATTAATTCCTAGTGTTTCTTGTTATATTTATCGCCTCGTCACCAGCCAGTGTCATTTTGATTCGGGGTCTCCTTGAAGTGGCTGTGGCTCGCTGGACAAGATGTGGGAGACTCATCACATGGCTTTCAAAGCAAAGGGAGGTAATATCCTGTCCGAAACCACAACGGCATCATATAGAAGAGGGCAGTCGCCATGAACCACACACCTTTGATCTTCACCTAATGTTACGATCGAAGTTCAAAGCTATACCGACTGAGCTGCAATATCGTCAGAGGACTGTTTTAAAGATAGTGATAAAAAAATCCTGAAATTCGATCTCGAGTCTTTCGACTTTGTTTGTCATTCGTATAACTTTTTAAAAGTGTATAATCTGATTCCAGGTACGAGTAATGCAAGTCAGTTGTACACCTTAATGGTTCGCATGTTCCTGGGACTTTTTATTGCATTTCTCGCAGTTATATATAAGGTTTTACGATGAAAATATAAGTGAAATGTTCACCCCAACATTTGCAGTGAAAACATCTATTCTCCAAGCATGCATGGGGACCACAGGAACGACAACTTTGGTAGAAACAACCTTACAAAAAAGTAGGAAATCCTCGCTGTATTGTAATATATTGATCTTTGTTAATGTGAATTTGGTCATTAGAATGTTTCACGTGTCGTATTTACTTACCTAGCATTATGTTAAATAATTTGAAGATCTGTGTCTTAGATGTGACGCTTTATATCTGATAGAGTAATGATAGTGGAACATACAAACTGGACGTAGAAAGAATGGCAAATTCCAACTCACATAAACGAAAGACATGAAAGAACGTGGTTTCTTGGCGAATAAATTTGATATTTCATGTCGTGGTGAAGAAAGTCTGGTAATCTTCACTCGTGCGAAATATCAAACTATCCATCCCATTCAATGAAATATAACCGTTATTCGTCAAGCAAAAAAAAAAAAAAAAAAATATATATATGTATATATATCCTCTATATAGCATATTCCGATGACTTTTGTTTAGTCGTGTCGTTTTACTTGATGCCGTTCGTATAAACTTTTAACTCGTTCAGATTTACTTAGATTTTGTTCTTTCTAAAGACTTTCACGAATAAGCTTGTGTAATAATGGTTTCTAGCAAAGCATATCTTTGTAAAAAAATCTATGTATTTGTAGTGTTACATTTCTTCGGAGATATATCCCATTTTACGTCTGATACCTCGTGTAATTAAAAATGGGATGAAACTGGATTTTATTGCGGAGTTTTGATTCGACAAAGAGTTCGAGTAACAGTGAAACACAAGGGTACTGACCATGTTCTTCTGTTACAGTCAGAACTCCTTCAGATACACGCCAAATTGTGTTATACCGGCAAAGGTCGACATTCAAGCATCCAAGCCATTATCCCGTGATAAATTATAAAACAAAAAGTTCAGTTCATGAACGGGTTGTCCTAGTCATTATTACCATGCTAAGGTTTATGTTAATGTTTAATCATTCGGATATAACTGGACACAAAACTATTCTAAACATTCATTTTATTATATTTATTTGTTCATTTTTGTAGACTGAACTTAATATGTGAATATAATAAGTAAATATGACTTCAGAATTTTCAGACAATCCTACACTCGTGATGAGATCTTCCGTCGGCTGTGGAATGGTACCGTGGGAATAAGTAGAAGAACAGGTTATTCCCCGTGAGTAAAATCGCTCCATTATCGATTAAAAATATTAAAGGAACAGTTTATTTTTAGTATCGGTTTGTCGATGGTTCGCATATCTCGTGTAAAACTGCATCAATTGGAGCAAATAATATGCAACGAAACCCTTGGGGTACTATTATTCTGCGACCTTTTCTGGGGTAAGTTCATTTTAACAGGGGTCCGTATGAGAGTTGCATCCCTTCGGACCGGGGATGTACGTGTATGTATTTATGGACACTACAACACAAACTCTCATAAGGTACACAAGGGTTTGTTATATATTTAGAGTAATTTGCCAAAGATATGTCTCCGATAGAACGTTAGTGATCAGACCAGATTGAGAAGCTGTACATCGATGAAAGAAGTCTCCAGCGTAATGTATTTCAATGCATTGTATGCTTTCCTTTATGTGGCTGATACGGTTGAAATTTCCATGTTGAATATGCTGCGCAAGTGATGTAATTTGTACCGATTCTTTTAGCTACCGGTACTCAATATTTTGTACGTTTCTGGTGGAAAAATATCATTTAAATTTACCAATATCCCAAAAAATAGATCCATTCTAAATCTGATTTTTAAAATTTCCCATGGAAAATCTGGGGAGGGAATACTGAGAGTGTCTCCAAATAATCACTGGCGGTAATATGAAAGCCTATTTGTAATCGGAACCGTGGACAACAGAATAGTAATTTAATCTCATTTATTACAGAACATTATAGATGTACATGTCATTAAAGAATTAAATCATTAACTACTGTGGTGAAATAGTGCAAATGATCATATCTTTCTCTTTATAAAGCTGATGCTGAACAGATTGCTTGTATTCAATAGCTATTGGAAATGAAATTTTTTAAGCTTAGCATTGGATTATAATTTGTCATTCTCATTTCAGATAGATGTTACAGAAGGAATAATGCTACACATCTTTGATCTGCTCAAAGCACATGGTATATATATTGGACCACAATTGGTTTAAAATCTTCATGGAAAACAAATGTTGTATATATGTTAGAGTCTTGGTTGTTGGTTTAAAATTTTCAGAAAGAACAAGTCTGCAAACGTGAAAGTTAGTGATCCCATCACACAAGTCATGAACAAGTAGTAATATTTAAGTGCTGGTAGTGTTGTTGTCAGTCTGCAGCTATGTGTTACCTGCTTCATCATTAATGCCGGATAGACATTCATGACTGTTGAAAGATATGTGAGGATTTACATACTTGTTTCACATTTTCCACTGAGAACATAACACTGCTATAATGTTTCTCCTACCAGTGAGGGCCAAAACCTTTCAGGGGCCCCGCATGACTTGCATAATGACAGCCGAGACATTCAATGTGATACATTTTACCGCAAGCTCTTACCAAGGGACACAAATCTCTGGGTCTCTGTACCATCGCACAGCGATATCTACTTTCCATCGGATTGCATACCGCCTGATGATGGGTCTGATGTCGATGTTGTTGTTTGCTGTTATGTGTGTAATATTTGCTGTCTGTTATGTTTCTGTTCACATGTTTTTGAGATTTCAAATCTCATTTACAGTAATTCTGGTCAATGTACGGCGCCAACCAATCAATTTCCGTTATGCAAATAGTTACTCTCTACTATTCCTCCACATCATACTAATGTGTGTAGGAGGGTTTGGTTATATCTGCCTCATTTATGTTGATATTTAATTGACCTTTTAGTTAGTTGGTGAACAATAAACAATAGTGTTGAAATATCATTTCTTTGTAGTATGTCCCTTTCATTGAATTGTCATAAATGACATTCAGTATCAACATATCCAATTCAGCCTCATTTTTGGTCTTGAATTAAGTATTTGCCCTAATAAGGAACGTTAAGGATTCTGTCCACAACTACTATGACCAACTTCAATGTCTTTGAAGTTTTTACTTTGTCTTCTTTGCTTGACTTTTAAGTTTTAAATGAATTAGTGGCAAGGACTGCATGGTCAGCCCATTGTCAGTATAATATGACCAGGTGAAATGTTATGCTGTTGTGCTTAGGTTATGGCATTTCAGTGTGACCGCACTTTAATCTGAGAATACAATCTTCATACATGTATAACCTTATAACTTTAGCTGTTTCAAAGACAAAACTTCAAACCCATAAGCAAGCAAGCTGGTGACCAGTATAATGAACTTACATGCTGTTGTGATTTCAGATTTTGTAAACACTGCAAGTAAGTTAAGTAAGTAAAACTAAACCAAGAAAATGTACAAGAGGAGTTTGTTGAGTATTTTCAAAGCAACATTACTAATTAATTACCAATTAACCTTAAAAATATCTGTAAGACATAAATACCCATGGGCTTGACCTTGGATGCCTAAAACACAATGTCCAAGGCATGTATATTCATACTTGATCTTTACCCAAATTCCATGAAAGAATAAAAATGTTTAGCGTTTAAATTGAATTAGTTGATGATTTTCTATATATAGTGATGATGACCTTGGCCTTGTCTTTGGACCCCTGAAACACATCAATGTCCAAAATATACTAATACTTGATTGTTGCGTAAAGTTTGACCCAATTCCATGAAAGAATGAAGTTGCTAAGTGTTTTAAAAATTGAATCAGTTAATGATTTTTCTATATATGGCAATGGTGACCTTGGGCCATTAAACCACAACAATTTCCAAAGTATACTCATAATTGACCTTTGTATAATGGTTGACAAAAATCTGTCAAAATGAAGTTGCAAAGTGCTTACATTGAATCAGGATTGGACGGGATGGGACTGGACAGGATGTGATACATGACAGGGCGGGACGAACATGAGTCGGATGCGACACATGACGGGACAAGACTGGGACGGTACGTACATGAGCAACACTATATGTCCTCTCCCCCAACCTCCCATTTCATTACAGGCGAAAAAAAAGTCATGTAAACAACAAACAACAATTTCTGCCTAAAAGATATTAAACAGTTGTTGTACCAAGGTTTGGAAACAAAAAGTGTAACATTATGGTTTTTATCAATTAATGTGGGCTGAAACATCTTTTCTAGAATCCTAAACTAGAATCCTGAAACAGTGTGAGCTGACTACAGAAATGTCAAGTATGGAAAATTTAGTGCCCTCTAGGCTAGATTGAAATGGTGCCTAAAGTACAGTGAAAAAGCAACATAAACAACAAAACAACTACAAACATTGTTCTTCCTCCTATGTTCATCAACATTTATTAAATCATTTTGATTTAATTCATATCACAAACTCTTACGATGAATTCTAATTTTGAGGAAATTAAAAAGACAAAGGGAAATAAATAATGCCCAACAGAACGTAAAGCTTACAATCAATGTAAGTCTTTTTATCAATACTGGTATGTAAATGGCAAACATATTTTTTGTTTGAAAGATTTGAACTTACATTTAAATACTGTAACTTCTATCTTTAATGCTGTTCAGTACATGTGTTATTTATGTCCCATATATATGACCCCCCCACCCCTTGGAGGTGAAATAGGGAAATCTCAACCAAGGGGATGATAGATGATTCAGTTAGCAAGTACAAGGCTTGCTCAGTGTTTGTAACTTAAACATTTTTTTCGAGGGTTGAGATCCCTCTTACATACCAATAAGGCAATAAATGAAGATTTTTCTTTTACGCTTCTGGTACTCATATGTGTTTTTGTTGTCCCAATGCTTTGCATCGTTGATGTGATTGAATCGTTGACGTGAGGTCAATAAATTGTTACGATGATTCTTGACAGGAAAAATCTCACCATTTCAATCCTAGGTTGGGAAAAGGAAATCTCACACAGTAAAAAGTGGGATATACCTGTTCAGGATGGGAGAATTTATAGAGGCACACCATTCAGCTGATCACCATTTCAGCTAGAGTTGATTTTTTTTCTTTTATTTCATAAGATGGAAATGGTGAAAGCTTTAAATTTTGTGTGAAAGTCCTAATTCAAGTAATGTTACGTTAGATTGTGGTCGAAATAGGCATGACATATCAATAGTTTTGGGAAGGAATTAGGAGTTCATCATAACAAGTAAAGATTCAGGGTTTCTAACATGTCATAAGTGCTGTCAGGGGATAAGCAGGGGCCTAATACAAAACCATGGGGTACACCTTGATTCCAAATTTTTGACAAGTACATGTACGATTTGGCTTTGATTTTCAAGAACATTTTGTACCCAGGTGATAAATTTGGGATTACTGCCCAGCAGTAATGCTGAAATGTGAAAAGTTGAATGCATATCTTTAATGGCCTACTTTATCAAAAACATTTTAACATCCAAAATTGCTATATCAGTTTGTTTCTTTGCTGGAAGATCAGTATTTATAGAGTGAATGTGATGAGTTGAATCTCAGAGCTGTGTTTGGATCGGAATCTGTGTTGCAGTATTACTAACAAATTAATAATCCATCCAAGACTTTGAATCAGGTGTAATGTCTTATTGCCCTGGACATTTGCAGGATATTGAATGAACATTTCAAAGTAATTAAAAGTCATTTACTGCACAAACTTGATACAATTTATCCATGCAAAATGCTGGCAGGTATTTTCATGCCCCTGGATTGAAAGAGTGTCATATTGTTTTGGGCTGTCTGTTTGTTGTCAACTTTAACCTTGCCCATAACTAATGCACTATAAGAGGTAGGAGTTTCATATTTGGCCTTTATGTGCCAAAAGTACCATAATTTTTGACCATGTGGTCTTGGCCATGACCTTTGACCTACATTTGAAAAATTATGGCCATAACTATTGCACCATAAGTGGTAGGGCTTGCTGACTCAAGTTTTAGGTTGATATTAATTTGTAATGAAGTAAAAAAAATAATCATCACCACAATGAAGACATAAGTGTTTCACGAAGTGTGCATGCAATTAGCACATGCTTTACACAGTACAGTATTAATGTCCCACTTCAGAATTTTGTTGCAACTGGGTGGGTGTGGGTGTGGGTATGTGTGTACTTTTTATAGAGACCTAAATAACAGTTTTTCAGGTATGTCATCTTCATTTCAAAAAAGTTTTAACAAACATTACCTCAACCTGTCTTTGAAAGTAAGTTAAGGTTACTTATTTAAAAAAAAAGTGACTAGCACTAATTTTCCCAGCATGCAACTGGTTGATCATCAGTTACTGACTACATCATGAAATAAAATTGCATGTATTTTCAGCAGGAGTTCTAAAAACAACAAAATATTGCAGTCTTCTTAAAAAGTAAAAATAATTTTCATGCACCACATCATACTTGCACCCTTAAAAAGATCAATATTTTCTAAGTATCATTCCATCAGTACTAGGTAGTCCTTAAGTGTGGAAGGAATGGGAAGGAGGTTCACTTTGGTGTAAAGTTTTCCCCGGAGTTCAGGGATCTCACGAAGTACTGTCCTACACATAAGTTTAAGGGGTTGAACTCTGCAGGCCAAGGATGAAAGGTACTGATGCAAGTGGGTGTGGTCCTCATCCTCCTCAGGAACACAGTCTCTGAGAGCTAAAACCCCGCCCACTGATAACACTGGTTCCAGAAGTCCTGCTAGCTGCGTAAACACTGGTCCACATGACACTTTGCAGGCATACCTTACAAAACGTTCATGTTGCCTATTTTTCCTGTTAAAACTGGCTCCAGCCTTGATTAAAGTCTGCACTAGTTGTAAGTATTTTTCTGAAAGAGGCTTTCGTGTTCGATGTAGGAAATGCTTCAGTTCATAACACAATGGCATTTTACCTGAAAATGCATAACAACATTTTTAATAGAATAATACATGGTTATATTTCAATATATTCTGTAAACACTGACTTTGATTATATTTGTAAGTATATGATGTGTAGACATAAAGTATGGACAAAAGCATATTATAAAATTTTCAAAGTGATAATGCTTTCGAATATGAAAGCTTTCAACCATATTTTAGTATTTATATATGAAAATACCTTAAGGGCCTGTATCATTCACCTCTTTCGCAATTAAAAAGAAGACTAGTAGGAAAAGTCAAATGTTTACACCAGACAGATGATGGATATATGCTACGGCATAAACTCACATTCTCTTTGGCTAGGTGTGCATATACTTCCTATAAACAATTTGTACTGATAATAACAAAAGCTGCAGTTTCCCTGTAATTTAATTCTAGTGAATGATTAAATCCTGAAACATGTGGTTGTACATTTTGGTGTTTGTTTGTGATAATGCGTTTTGATCTACTGATACTTCGATAAAAAGATGCCTATAGGGCCTGCATCCCTCATCAGGCTTTGCTTGGCTGAAATTGCTTCATTAAAACTTAAAAAAAAGGAATTCTAAATATCAAAGTATATTGTCTGAAAACATCAATTTTTCTATCGGACCTGTTCCTTCTGTCCCTAAGGGGTCAACCAAACCATTCATACTTCAGACCCAATTATTCCTACAGGAAAAGCAGTATTACAAATAATTTGCTCTCCTGCCCCTTCTACCCCAGGGGGTCGAGACAAATGTTTATACAAAATAGTTTCTCTTCATCCAGGCATGCTTCAGACCAAATTTGGGCAAAATCCATTCATTCCTACAGAAGGAGTAGAACTTTGAAGAATTTGCTTTTTCCCCTATTGGACCCTACCCAAGGGGGCCCTGACCCACCATTCAAACAAAATTGATTTCCCTTCTACTAATAATTCTTCAGTCCCTTGGGCAAAAATAGGATTTTGAATAATTTACTCTATTTCTCCTAATGGGTCCCACCCAAAGGGGCCAGACCCATCATTTATACAAAACTGATTCCTCTTCAATCAAGAATGCTTTAGACCAAAATAGAACATAATCCAATCATTCCTAAAGGAGGAGTAGGATTTTAAAAAATTGGCTCTATTTCTCCTCTTGGGTCCTGCCCTTCCGCCCTTGGGAGCCAAGATCCACTGTTTATACAAAATTAATTCACCTTCATCGAATGCTTTAGACCCAGTTTGGGCAAAATCTAATCATTTCTACAGGAGTAAAATTTGCTCTATTTCCCCTATTAGGCTGCGCCTCAATGGGCCGAGACCAATTCAGGATATCATTTTTTCCTAGTATGCTAAAAGCCCAATATCATCATCTTTGGCCTTTCCCTTACTGAAGAGAAGCTGTATGAAAGATGTTTTAAAACATTTGACCCTGTGACCTTGAAAGAGGGTTAAGATCATTCACTTGAATAAAATTAGTAGCACTTCATCCTAGCATGACATGGATCCAATATCATTAGGTACCATTGGTCTTTCCCTTAATTAGAAGTTGTTTGAAGCTTTTTTTAACACATCTGACCCTGGTGACCTTGAAAGCATTACAGTGTACCCTCAATCCTGACATCTTTGTTCCTGGCCAAAATTGTCTGAATTAAAGTGTTTTCTGGACTGCTGAGTTAAGCCAATCAGCTAATAAAATCTGAGTTATCTCTCTTGATTACATAATGATAAAGTTGTCAATATGATGCTGTTGATTGTATTCAGAATATCTACATAGTATTTGCTGAATTACTGTATCTTTAAATGTCTTTCATTGTTTTAGTATGATTAATTTTCATAAATAATTTAAAAAGTATATGAATTAAAATTTCCGAAGTAAAATGTTGTTATTCATTGAAGACCAATTTCGTAGATGATTAAATGCCTACTTGGTATATTTGATAACACAGGCTTTCTCAATATGATATGCACTGCATAGTGTTTTTATGTGTGTTGTGACATAATTTGTATGCTATTTTCCCATGGAATAATACAATTTGTTGTCATCTGAAACTATCCCAATTTTAAAAATCAAGTGAGTCTATTAAAAATGCTGTAGATATTTACTGCATGATCAAAACAATTGCAGCAGTGAAATACAGTAATTTAAAAACCGAACTTTCAATATACTTTCATGATGCCTCACAAGACTGATGACACATTGTTATCAATCAAATTTTACTTTGCATTTCTATGTTTTACATAAAGTGCTAATTACATTTATGCTATGCACTTTTGGCATAGATAACATGAAACACTAAATTTTCTTAGTATGGTAACAAAGGATATCCAGACTATTGTGGAAGAATTTCCAGAACTGGAATTCAAATTTCTAGACTGGTGAGTGTAATCAATGTTACAGAAATCTGTTCCCCAACATTTCTGTCCAGATGTGAGTTTTTCACACTATTAGTACCAGTATTATCATGGGTCCATTGATGTTTCCTAATACGCCTCTCAAGGCTCAATGGGAACATGTCGGGGCTATATGGCGCCATTCCAGAGGCAGTCAAGCATTGTCTTGCTGGAAAATTAGGTTATGCGTCAAAGAAGTGGAAGGACATGTGGTTTGAGGATCTGGTCTCTGTATTGAACAGCGTTGAGGTTTGGATCCAGGACCACTGATTTTACTCTATGGTGGCCCGACATAAGGTTAGCAGTTTGAGCACTAATAGGCCTGCCATGAATACCTAAGGTATAAGACACAGTCTCTACAGCAGTCTAGAATCTATTGCACAAGTGCAACAATCAAATCAACCTGTCATGTGTTTGTTTCATGCGGATGACCACTCCAGGAAATTTGGAATCTAACCCAGTAGCATGGAAACGGTTAATTGTACACCGTGCAACACCAAACTGCCATGTGACAGCAGTTTGGATATGACCATCCATCAACATCGCAATTGCTCTACCCCTCTGAATTTGTGTTAAGTGTGGCACTGAGGTCAATGGCAAATTCAAAATGCCAACATGGAAAATTAATGTGGCTGAACTTAAGAGTATCCGTTGAAATTATTTGTTTGGAAAAATCTGGCTTGGTTTGATCACACCACATGACTTGGACTAAAGAAGCGCACAAAATCAGACAATGACAGCACTTGGATGATTTTAAGGTAGGTTGTCAAAAGGGAAATCATTCTTGACACAATACCTGACCAAATATTCCATTATTTCCTAACAGCTAAGGTGTACTGCAGGGGGGAACTTTGTGCATTTCTATTTTTGTTGATATATCTATATTTATCAGTGTATACCTGTTTTATCCTCTATGCTCACTGACAAACCCCGGTTCAGTAATTGGCAGGCTATCTCATTCCTCACAGTCAAGTCCTGTTTTGTATTACCACATATACAATGTAGGGCTGAAACATATTAGAACCATTATGAGCTGATTTGTGTTCACTTTCAAGCTGAAAAAAAAATGTAGTTACATGTGCAATGCCTTATTTTTTAAACAGACAAAACATGTTAAAATATGATTGTTTGTATAAATTTACAGGAAGGTTAATTGTAAAACTAAACCAAATATGTGCTTTTAAAAAATACATTCCATGATTGATGCAAGGGTCATTATAGATCATTCAGTTGGTGTCTGATCATCTTTTTGCTGACCATGTCTGGTCAAGGAAAAGGCAGTAGATCCCTGAAACCAATCAGGGGGAGCAGTAAAGTCACCTACTGCTTCAACATATTACCTGTCCGTCCATCCTTATCTGTGAGAAAAATGTTACAGTCATGGTCAAGAAGGTACTGAGTAATGGTCAGGGCTTCTGGGCAGTCACTGCTGCAAGCTTCTATCAAGGGTGTACAACCTAAAAATGTCAGGATTGTAAAATATCAGTTCATACCACAGAAATATGTTACATCAATTTGAATTACAGCTAGGGATTCATTCTTAAATGTAAAGTTCTAATGTTATGCTTGTTATATTTGTGACCTTGCTATTTGCAAACATCTTTCAATATACTCGTTTTTCAAACAATGCCCTTATACATTTTCTTATGAGTATTACTAACCTTTACATAATGACAAAAGGGTGACAGTGTAATGGCAAACAGACAGACATGGCAATATGGTGGTGGACAGACAGATGTAGCAATATGACAGCAGACAGATAGACATGGCAAAAAGGTAGCAGACAGACAGGTGTGGCAATATGGTGGTGGACAGATAGATGTAGCAATATGACAACAGACAAATAGACATGGCAAAAAGACAGACAGATGTGGCAATATGGTGGTGGACAGATAGATGTAGCAATATGACAGCAAACAGACAGACATGGCAATATGGTGGTGGACAGACAGATGTAGCAATATGACGGCAGACAGATAGACATGGCAAAAAGGTAGCAGACAGACAGATGTGGCAATATGGTGGTGGACAGATAGATGTAGCAATATGACAACAGACAGATAGACATGGCAAAAAGACAGACAGATGTGGCAATATGGTGGTGGACAGATAGATGTAGCAATATGACAGCAGACAGATAGACATGGCAAAAAGGTGGCAGAGAGTCAGATGTGGCAATATAGTGGTGGACAGATAGATGTGGCAATATGACAACAGACAGATAGAGATGGCAGAAAGATGGCAAAAAGACAGATGTGGTATTATGGTGGTGGACAGATAGATGTGGCAATATGGTGGTGGACAGACAGATGTAGCAATATGACAGCAGACAGATAGACATGGCAAAAAGGTGGCAGAGAGTCAGATGTGGCAATATAGTGGTGGACAGATAGATGTGGCAATATTACAACAGACAGATAGACATGGCAAAAAGATGGCAGACAGACAGATGTGGCAATATGGTGGTGGACAGACAGACATGGCAATATGATGGTAGTCAGATGATGGCAGTATAATGGATGGTGAACAGATAGATGATGGCAGTTTGATGGATGGTGGGCAGACAGATGATGGCAGCACGATGGATGGTGGACAGACAAATGATGGCAGCACGATGGATGGTGGACAGACAGATGATGGCAGTATGATGGATGGTGGACAGACAGATGATGGCAGTATAATGGATGGTAGACAGATAGATGATAGCAGTAGGAGGGAAGATGGACAGACACATGGTTGAAGCAGCAGGTGGAAAGAGAGAGGGTGGTAGTGATGGAGAGACAGATGCTGATGATCTGTAAAAGAAAATATCTTTTACAAGGTAAATGGTTTTATATACTGGTATGTCCAATGAGTGTTGTGCACAGTACCTGCATTGTCCTGTATATTGACTGAGGCCCCTGTTTCAAGCAAAACTTGGACAGTAGTGGCAGAATTATGACACGCGATGTGTAGAGGCGTCTGTCCAAACCTTCCTACTGAATCCAAAGATGTCCCGAAGTATACTAGTATCTGTAGCATGTCCTTTACAGCTATAATATGGAGCAGAAAAATATCACTGATTAACAATAAAGTGCATTCAAGGATTCTTTCGTGTTCATTTTTATGTTGTAAGTCCTTAAATAAAAGCAGCAGGATTTTCCCCCAGCCTCCTTGAAAAAGGATGGACTATTGAAAAACAATACTGGGTACAAACATTAATACATTGTTTAATCCTTGTCTATAGAGTTGAAATCACATTATAATCTTATATTACAATATGTGCTAATTCAATAACACATGTACTGTTTTCTCATTCAGATCAGTTCTGTGAAAATATGAACAATGTAATTTCAATTTTGTGATTAAAAGAATACAAAAGATGTCAATATTAAGTTTTTCAGTAATGTTACGATAATTGTCATTTATAAAACGAAAAAGGATTTAAAATATCATTCTTTTGTGGATGGTCCAATTAAACACAATGTACATTCACAATACCTTACCTGGAGATGGCTTGAGTCCAGCCACAATGTGCAGAGGTGTACTACCAAGATTGTTGAAGAAGTTTGGGTCAACACCTCGAGTCATGAGGTGTTTAACTTTGTTGTTATCTCTTTTTCTTATAGCTTCTAGCATCTGATATTGGTCCTCAGTTATTCTACATCTCAACACAAATTCCTGGTCACGTTTCACATCCTATGGAAACCATAAAACAATCAATCAACAAAACTTAATGTGAAGTTTGATAAGAGCAACAAAAAAAAAATGTGCAAATGAATTGATAAATGTTATCAAGACAAAAAAGGACATACTTCATAATAATTTTCTTTGAACATTATAGTCTGATCTGTTGATTACCCATATATTTATTAGTTTAAATACTTAAGGGTTAAAGTATACCCTCAGTGAAAATAGAAATGAATAAAAAATCACTTTTATGATCCAAAATCCAAAAGGTTAAAAACTGCACCAGAATCAGTCAACCCAATGCCAAGATATTGATGTATAAAGTGTATGATTTTCACCTGTCCTTCTACTTCTAATCAGCCAAAGGGTGACTCATGCTAAATGGCACCCTATTAGCTGTGATGTCAAAAGTTCAATGACCAGTAGCAGCCGCCATGAAGAGAATAAGCAAGATCAAGAACAACTATTCTATACAATGTCAGGTTGCTAATGAAAGTTTTATAGTTTTCATGAATTCAAAAATTCTGACGATAAAATTATGCAAACAGTAAACAGTCATATGAAATTTGCCAGAATTGATCAATTTAAACACATTTGTTGTCAACCTTAGAACAATTGATGAGGCACCAGCTACATAAAATTATATATGAAAACAATTGCTATAATGGAAATATGCATACATTGATATGATCACTTACACTCTCTGCACCCCTGGAACATTTCCTGGCAATATTGAATGTTCAATGTGCGACACCTTTCGGAAAAGGAGAAGACTAGTGCGACACCTTTCGGAAAAGGAGAAGACTAGTGTGACACCTTTCGGAAAAGGAGAAGACTAGTTTGATCCTTTGATGTTCTTCAAATAAATCTTGAGGTCACATAACAGTATATTATACTGACTTTGAAGTTGGATGTCGCTCGTTTACAGTCTTAATAGGCACCTATATAGCTTTCAGTCTGTGTTTGATCATCTTTTTTTCTCCTGAAACCTACTCTAGACTAATCAATTTACTTTTCTTGTGCCTTCATTTATGTCAGGAAATGTTCCAGGGGTGCAGAGAGTGATAGTGAGTATAACCCCTGGAGTACCGAGGATGGGAGTAAGAGTATCCACAAAATCCACAAAAATATATCATCCAGGAAAATTAATATCACAGTATACCTTTATATACATTTTCCTTATGTGAAAAGTTACAACCTGGACCTTTATTTTATTCCTTTTTCTGTACACAAAACTATGCTATACATCAGTTGTGTTGACTTTATCACTGTTATTTATAGATACATAAATATATAGTTACGAACGATTACATCTGCTGTTTCATCACTTACTTCCACCACACAATTCACATTCATTGTGGTATATAAATTTTTTTCATGGAAACATCATGCTGAAAGTGCACAGGCAGCCAAAATCTGCATTAAAGTGATGCTTATTTGCAGATGACATTTTGGATGGAATCACTAAACAGTTTGTTACTAAATAGCTAGTGTAAAATTACCAAAAATCACCTGAAATTGAGTAAATATGTCGAAAACATTCATTTCAATGAAAAATATGATTCGTCATTCATTTCTTTTTTGATCTGCACAAAAGAAATAGCCCTATATATGTATAACTGGATTCGACTATAAAGCTAAATGTGCCTATTTCGCTTTAATTGCTCCCGTACCTGATACACCCATATCCAGAGGAAACTTCTTTGCTGCCGTGTCATACAGAATTCTAGGGTTACACATGCCTTATGTGTATAATTAAACTATATGCATGGTACAATTACCTTTCAAGCGTTATATCTTTTGATTAAAAGACAATATAACCTCTTCTGTGTTGGTAATCAATAATGCGTGTACATTTATTTATAATTACTAAATGTCACGTTCACATAAAAGGAAATCGGTAGCTTGTATTTCAGAGATATTCGAAATAAGTTTACAGTTTACTTGTAAAATATAGAGGTGGCGTATATTTGTGGAGATTCGAGGGGAAGTGTGTGCACGTACTTCGATACATCATTACATGTGTATCCAATTGTGTGGTGTTATACAAATAACCACCGAACTTATCACCGTCAACAATGGGTAGTTCTTTATAAAAACAAGAGAATAAAACATCTAAAAAGGTAGATCATAACAATTAAAACGGCTTGGTATGTTTTCGGTTTCAAATACCTTGATTTCTTCCTTCATGTCCCGTAAAAGTGACATATTGACAGGGAGCACCTGTGTCTGCTCGACGTTGATTTCATGCTTTTCTTTTCGTCTTTCATGTGAGTAGAATTCAAACTCTTAGGAGAAGCCGATTGTTACTCTTAAATGAAAGACCAATGTAGAGGCAATTGGAATTTCAGAATGGTTCAATATTAAAAACATACTGATTATTTCGTTATGATTTCGTCAAAAATCGCTTCTTTCTTATCTTAAAGTATCAGATTGAAACTGGATATATTTGATTTAGATGTAAAATTGACCACAAATATATCTTATCGACTACTTGTGCCTAATTGTACAGAAATTAATGACGTCATAGACATATTCCACACATGCCAGTTTGTGTACACGGTATCCCCAACAAACGGGTAGCTGACAGCGGTTAAGGGATTAACTAAGTGAGCGTAAGTAATCCTTAGTTTCATTCTGTGCTACTGGACTGTGTTGGACAGTGTAGCTTTTGTCCTCACGTTACTGTGCATTTCGACATTTATACTGACTATTTATAATATATTTTACAGGGATGCTGATGATGCTGATATCGGTGTATGCGTGAGAGAGCTTTTGATCATGTGCAAATAGATACAGTTTAAAGTTATATGCTTCCATTTTTCTGATATCATGTTAAGTGCCGATGTGGTAGTTACTTTATCTGTTTGTACAAAAACTCCATATCATGCATTTTGTATCAAAAATAATTTGACATAATTATGATAAAACAAGTGTTTATATATATATATATATATATCTATATATATATATATATATATATCTATTCATATCATATATTAAGAAGAACACATGAAGACATGTTCTTTACATCACAATGACAAAAAGTATCTGATAACTAATGAAATACTCTGTATTCTTGCTAATATATCTGCAGGTTGTCATACAATGCAATTCACAGAGTTTTTTCTTGGCATAATCCTAGTTAAGTGCCTCCATTCCTAATATAACTAATTGTTCCAGCCCTTGCAATTTCCTTTTAAACATAATAAACTTGAAATATTTCACCCTTGTATTTGAGAAACAAAAAATTAATGAGGATATTATGATACAAATGTATGTTAGATTACAATGCTAAATATATTTGACACTCAGCTTATGCAAGGAATTTACTAATTTTTTTAAGGGGTTGGGTTGGAGGGGGAGGGGGGAGGTTGACATATGAGAGTCTTGCCCATGAATCCACGCCTTTTTTGTGTCACTAGCACACATTTGAAAACTCTCCTCATGTTAAATGCTTACATATTTACAGGAGTGTGGATACCTTGATGCAGTATATACGGTGTAAATTCATATTTCTAAACAATATTCCTCATCAAATTTTTAAGAAAGGCTATTTATGATCGTCTTGCCTGAAATATTCCAATAACTTTATTTCTCAATGTGAATTGAAGAGCAACTTCATACAGCGATCAATGATAATTGAAATTTCACATACAGTACTTGTGATGAATCCCTGGGTGCACTAGAACTATTTCCTTCCTGCATACTTATGAGCATCCTAGGCAGGGCACACCACACTATGTTATATGATGATATGTTATAAATGCATTATATGTATAAAGTGAATGATCAAAAAGTATGTAGATGATGTAAATAATAATGGCACTCATAATGTACTTTATATAATTAAATAGTATTGAAAGTTGAATGTGATTTGGAAAAAAATATAACTTAGAATGAAAGAAGTAAGACAAAAGGAACCTGAAGAACAATTTAAGAGAACCAGGTTGCATTGAGCCTTAATATAATATGGCCTGGAACGATTCAGGTCAGATTGACTGGAAATGTAAATATATAAAAAAAACTACAGACATTCAAGATTCTGGGGATGGGGTGAGATTTGGAAGAAGAAATGTTTTTCAAGGCAATGAAGCTTAATGTGTAAACTTTGATTGAGAAATATGTAACAAGCTGAAATATGATCATCCTCTAATCAGCTTTTATTGCTTAAAGAGTTTACAATGTGTAACAGGTATTGGCCTTACAAAGTTTTTACTCTCATTTTTTAAACTAAAAGACAGTTTTCAGCCTCAATTTTCAGTCTTGAGGTTGATCATTTCCTGACTTGAACCTCTGCCTGGATCAGTGGTATAGGAAAAATATGCTAGTACAATTTAAATAATATATTTGGTCATTTATAAATAGCTATTTTTTATCTGACTGTTATCTTGATATATATTGTAGGGTTATAATTTGCACTACCAGACCTAGGAATGATAATATATTCATAGTTGCCTGTAATCTATCAACACGATCATGTGTTTGTCATAACTATATTAGTACATATTATTAAACTCAATTCCTATAATAAATATTGTGGTGTCTGTGGTACATTCATGACAGAAACCATTGGAGAAGCATGACTACAAAATTTATGTGGTCAATATTTCAAGTAAATTTATTTTCTGTTGTTAAAATCATATTTTGAAAACTTAACTTATGATTTAAGAAGTAGTAATACAATTTCCTTGTAAATATTATTGATTGTATTATATGATAAGAAAAATGTTGAATTCACTGCAGAATTTAAACTCTATTTTATTTAATGAAATATCTTTTCCATAGTTGGAGGTCTATAGGTCCTATGATAAATGAAAAAAGAAGGTTGCATTATCAATTCATATTTTGAACTGAAATTTAGAATAAAGGTTGTACCTAGTCAAGTTGTAGAAGTAGGCAGTTGCAGACTGACCCTGGTGTTTTGGAGTGTATATGGGAGGAAGAAGATGGTATATAAAGATATACAAAGAAACAGCTAATATGAAATGGTCATAATTTTCATTTCTTAGTAAACCAATTTCTTAAGTTGAGTATTTTCTACTCCACAAATATCTTGTACAATATTTATACTATATTGCCCCAATGGCAGAAACATGAAGTTATTCATATCAAACTCAAAGTTGATTTCACAATTGATAGATTAAGATTGTACAGAACATCGGTCTGCAAAGCTTAGACATTTTGTCATTGTACTAGCAGAGAAAATTTCATGCTTAAGGTTGTTTAATATTATAAGAAACAAAAATACCTGATGAGATATGTATATCTAAGAAGTATAAAACATAGCGCAGAAAAAAAAGACTATGCTCATCCTGATGTTAGCATTGGTGTTGGTTTCTAAGTGGTAATGTTAAGGTTTTGGTGCAAGTGTTGAAAGACGTCGGCAAACTCCTTTTCCATCATACCAGGGAAGTGATATTTGGTTTCAGGGTGTCTGTAGGTGTTAACTATTACTTTGCAAAGTGGGAATGCACAATGATTTTTTGGACTCAGATATTTGAGTCCTGGACTCATGCATATGAAACATTTTGGACTTCGACTTTATGTCTCAAATCTAATGTTAAGATTAATGTGCAACTATTTAAAGGCATTGCTAAACCCTTTAATAAATGTACTAGGCTACTGATATTTGTCTTCAGGGTTTCTGTTGTGTTTAACAATTACTTCTCAGAGTCATAATATATGATTTTTGGAAAAAAATTAAAAACTTTTTACATTTTCCCTTAAATCCTAACAGAGAAATTTATGCAAAAACTCTTACATTTGTTTGACTGTAAACAATTCCTACATAATATTGACACTAACCAAAAATGTTGACAATAACCAAAAATCAATGTATCTTATGTTTTGTTTCTTTTGCATTTAAATCTAGTTACTCATGCAACTCATTTGTGTACAAAAAATTTACAAAATATTGAATTGGAAAACGCTTTTTGTTAAAATTGTAGTATGTTGCAATTGGTGAACCCAACCCCCTGATACTAGTATGTGCTATATTGAAAAACAATGTAAGGCAGGCTATGTATCGTTGGTGGTACTCTTGTTTATTTTTTCTTGGCGATTGTCCCAGACCCACACTTCTGTAGGATGGCCTTGCATCTGCCTTACTTTTTGCAGACCAGCCAGTTGTTTAATTTCATCAAGATCTTTTGTCTGCAATTTTCCTGAAAGCTATTAAGTTTTATTGTTAAATTACAGACTGTTTGTTGTCTTGTACATGTGCAAGATCATCCTATCCCAGGTAATGCAGGATTTTGTTATACGCCTTAATGACATTTGTATGATCAAAACTACATCTATATACAGGTTCTGTATGCAATACAGGATACATCTATCAGTATAACATATATATTGTAAAAGTTTTAATTACAGACCATACATCTGTACTACACATGCTTTGGATACAGATCATGCATCTGTACACTAAACAGGTTTAAGGTACAGACCACACATCTGTGTTTCAGGTAAAATCACCATACATCTATACACTATATATGCCCAAGCTTTATGTCTGTAAACTTTACAGGTTTTAGGTACAGACCATACATTTGTACACTATTAGGTTTTAGGTACAAATCATACATTTGTACACTATATAGGTTTTAGGTACAAATCATACATTTGTACACTATATAGGTTTTAGGTACAAATCATACATTTGTACACTATATAGGTTTAAGGTACAAATCATACATCTGCATACTATATAGGTTTAAGGTACAAATCATACATCTGCATACTATATAGGTTTTAGGTACAAATCATACATTTGTACACTATATAGGTTTTAGGTACAAATCATACATCTGCATACTATATAGGTTTAAGGTACAAATCATACATCTGCATACTATATAGGTTTTAGGTACAAATCATACATCTGCATACTATATAGGTTTAAGGTACAAATCATACATCTGCATACTATATAGGTTTAAGGTACAAATCATACATCTGCATACTATATAGGTTTTAGGTACAAATCATACATTTGTACACTATTAGGTTTTAGGTAAAATCATACATCTGCATACTATATAGGTTTTAGGTACAAATCATACATCTGCATACTATAAAGGTTTAAGGTATATACTATTTGTATATTATACAGTTTTTGGTATAGATATTTGTAAGTCTATCTTTATATCTTACAGGTTTTAGGCACAGAAATTGGTATGTCTATAGCTATCTGTATGTTATACAAGTTTTTCATGCAT